CAACATTGGTTTTCATCTGATAGGGCTCGGCCGCGGTTTCGCGCGGGGGCTGTACGTCCCAGAGGGTCGTCAACATTACAACGCGGAGTGGAGTTGAGGAGTCAATATGCCCGTATATTAGCCAATTTCAGAATAAAAAGGGCCAGGAAAACTACATTAACAAATCGTCAACCTCAGTCAGTTCATAGTCTAGAAATCTTGAAGTCACCAGTGGTCGCTAAGGACCAGAAATCGTTAACCGGGTTGGTGGGCATTTTGGATTCCGATGTACTGTCGGAACTTACGGACGAAGATGCCAGTCTATGCCTCATGAAACGAGCAATTATTATCCGGACTACGAAGGATTTTGCCGTATCAATTCCTATATAAAATCCTTTTGGCATTGTGCAGCGGTAGTTGATGGCTGTATTGTTGTGGACAATAGGATCGCTATACCCATGTGCCTACGAAAACCATTATTGTCTCGACTACATAGGTCGCATGCGGGTCAGTTAGCCATGGCTGATGCTGCGCAGTACATCTGGTGGCCCCGAATGCATCGAGATATCGTCCAGCTTTGTAAAGATTGTCTCCAGTGCACAAAATTTGGTAAGAATTTGAAAGCGAACGCTTCATTTAACTCTTCCAAGCCTTTACCCCTTTTGTCTGGTCCTAACGAAGAGCTGCAGCTCGATTACGCAGGCCCTCTACTCGATTCGTTTGGTAACAGTATTTATATCTTGGTCTTGATCGACCGTTACTCAAAATATCCGTCAGCTATAATTACACGTTCTACGGGAGGACGGAAGATTATTAAATTTCTTAAATCGTATATTCAACAGCATAGTATCCCCAAATCTATCAAAACTGACCAATATTCTGGTTTTAAGAACAAATTAGTGCAAAATTTTTACCAAGATAAAAATATTGCCCAATATTTCTGGCCGGTGGGGGACCATCGTGGTTGCGGTCTAGTAGAAAGGTCGATCCAAACGATCAAACGTCGTTTGGGCGCCTCGCGGTTGAGTTCGGATTTTTCAAATGTTCAAGATACTCTTAGTAATAATATTGAAGATATTCGGATTACTAAAAATTCTGTTACTGGGGTTTCACCGTTTGAGCTTCATTTTGGCCGTCCTCCGAATACGGAGCTATCTATTGCGGCTGAGCGTTTATCTTCGGGCGTTAATTTAGATAACCAACAATTGGAACGGGACTTATTAACACCCGAACAGCGTCGGGAGCAGTGCGATAGCCGACCGAGGATAAAAGTGGTCAGGAAGGGGCAGTCAAGCCCGACGGTGTCTCCATACTTTGGTGGACCTACGAATTCAGTTTCGGATACACCTCACTACCGCGCTCTGGAGAACCTGGCACATTCCGCCAATCAGTGGTTGACATTGAAAAAGTCATTGTCACATCAGGAGGGAGTCAAAGCATTGAAGACGCTGACGGAAAGAAATCAAGTCCTCGCAGCCACCCTTCGCCCCAATTTGTCTGCTGGTACCCTTAGATTTAGGAACCAGATGCAAACGGATCAAATTCGCCCGTCGTTACCAAAACGTAATTTGGATTACTTAGTATTGAATGAACCAAATAAAGTCGAAATATTTAGGAAATTTCTAAATAGGAAGTCTGGCAGAGAACATTTCAAACCTTTTAAGGGCAAAATCGTGCGGATTACTGGGTCCACATATATTTCTGATTAGGAAAAAGTGATTAGAAGAAATCATTTGGCGGTACGTCTTAAATCAACCGATCTAAGTTTTTCAGGCAAACAACTAACGCCTGTCAAGAAGGGGCAGAAACGCCCCATTGTGTCATCTTCACCGTCATCATCAGAAGACAATCGGCCTCTCAAACAATCGAGATCTCGCCAACGTATCACAGCTAAAACGGTAAAGATTCCTGCTCATCCGAAATTCCCATCTGTACCAACTTCATATACTCCATCTCGTGGCCAAATTGTGTCGACTAAGTCAAAGGAAACTTCAGTCTCGGAGGCTCCAGGTGTACAAACTATTCCTTTTCCACAACACTCTACTCCAGTAGTAGACTTAACGGCATCTTCTTCCACGTCTGGAAATCAAGGAACGGAGGTTCCCATTAGTATTAAACCAAAGTTACCAACTTCAGTCATAAAAAATCCAGTATGTCCAGACCTCATCCCTATTTCTTCAGACGATGAATCTTCAATTCCGAAATCTCAAGAAGGAACTTCGACAAATTTGGCAGCATCGGGCCTTCCCACCCAAGATGGTCCCGTCATAATGTCCGAACCGGATGGAAATGTCTCATCTTCTTCGAACTCATCTCGTGCCTCTTCTCGACGGAAAAAGCAGACCACATTTTACGGTAGTCCCATCAGACATTCCAGTCGATGTCTACACCTCCGTCAACTCCTGCTTCGCCGGACAAGAAAGTTCGTCCAGCTTTGTAAAGATTGTCTCCAGTGCACAAAATTTGGTAAGAATTTGAAAGCGAACGCTTCATTTAACTCTTCCAAGCCTTTACCCCTTTTGTCTGGTCCTAACGAAGAGCTGCAGCTCGATTACGCAGGCCCTCTACTCGATTCGTTTGGTAACAGTATTTATATCTTGGTCTTGATCGACCGTTACTCAAAATATCCGTCAGCTATGATTACCCGTTCTACGGGAGGACGGAAGATTATTAAATTTCTTAAATCGTATATTCAACAGCATAGTATCCCCAAATCTATCAAAACTGACCAATATTCTGGTTTTAAGAACAAATTAGTGCAAAATTTTTACCAAGATAAAAATATTGCCCAATATTTCTGGCCGGTGGGGGACCATCGTGGTTGCGGTCTAGTAGAAAGGTCGATCCAAACGATCAAACGTCGTTTGGGCGCCTCGCGGTTGAGTTCGGATTTTTCAAATGTTCAAGATACTCTTAGTAATATTATTGAAGATATTCGGATTACTAAAAATTCTGTTACTGGGGTTTCACCGTTTGAGCTTCATTTTGGCCATCCTCCGAATACGGAGCTATCTATTGCGGCTGAGCGTTTATCTTCGGGCGTTAATTTAGATAACCAACAATTGGAACGGGACTTATTAACACCCGAACAGCGTCGGGAGCAGTGCGATAGCCGACCGAGGATAAAAGTGGTCAGGAAGGGGCAGTCAAGCCCGACGGTGTCTCCATACTTTGGTGGACCTACGAATTCAGTTTCGGATACACCTCACTACCGCGCTCTGGAGAACCTGGCACATTCCGCCAATCAGTGGTTGACATTGAAAAAGTCATTGTCACATCAGGAGGGAGTCAAAGCATTGAAGACGCTGACGGAAAGAAATCAAGTCCTCGCAGCCACCCTTCGCCCCAATTTGTCTGCTGGTACCCTTAGATTTAGGAACCAGATGCAAACGGATCAAATTCGCCCGTCGTTACCAAAACGTAATTTGGATTACTTAGTATTGAATGAACCAAATAAAGTCGAAATATTTAGGAAATTTCTAAATAGGAAGTCTGGCAGAGAACATTTCAAACCTTTTAAGGGCAAAATCGTGCGGATTACTGGGTCCACATATATTTCTGATTAGGGAAAAGTGATAAGAAGAAATCATTTGGCGGTACGTCTTAAATCAACCGATCTAAGTTTTTCAGGCAAACAACTAACGCCTGTCAAGAAGGGGCAGAAACGCCCCATTGTGTCATCTTCACCGTCATCATCAGAAGACAATCGGCCTCTCAAACAATCGAGATCTCGCCAACGTATCACAGCTAAAACGGTAAAGATTCCTGATCATCCGAAATTCCCATCTGTACCAACTTCATATACTCCATCTCGTGGCCAAATTGTGTCGACTAAGTCAAAGGAAACTTCAGTCTCGGAGGCTCCAGGTGTACAAACTATTCCTTTTCCACAACACTCTTCTCCAGTAGTAGACTTAACGGCATCTTCTTCCACGTCTGGAAATCAAGGAACGGAGGTTCCCATTAGTATTAAACCAAAGTTACCAACTTCAGTCATAAAAAATCCAGTATGTCCAGACCTCATCCCTATTTCTTCAGACGATGAATCTTCAATTCCGAAATCTCAAGAAGGAACTTCGACAAATTTGGCAGCATCGGGCCTTCCCACCCAAGATGGTCCCGTCATAATGTCCGAACCGGATGGAAATGTCTCATCTTCTTCGAACTCATCTCGTGCCTCTTCTCGACGGAAAAAGCAGACCACATTTTACGGTAGTCCCATCAGACATTCCAGTCGATGTCTACACCTCCGTCAACTCCTGCTTCGCCGGACAAGAAAGTTCGTTTTGTCGTGGCTAATCCAGAACTAGTGAACCAAGCAGGACAGTCTCGGGTTGTTCTTCCCGATGTTTCCGAAGGCTTATATCGAAAATTCACACGCTTCCCTAAAAAGAGTTCTTCCGACCATCCATTGCGTCGTTCAGACAAATAAAGCTTTTCGTACCTTCGAACTAAATAAAAACTTGCAAAACTCTCGTATTCTCACTCAAGTCACATCAGTTAATTTGTAAAACTCCTGTGGCGTAATTTGTATGGCGTGTGGGGGGATGATTTTCAATGAAAATTTCAAATTTTAGAACAAAAAATTTTTCATTCCATTTTATTACATTTAATTTTTACTTAATGTTATTACTGCTCCAAAAGCCTTAAAAGGCAGTCGGAACATTCAGGGCTTTGCCCTGATACGAGCACTCTTGTTTGCTATTTAGGTTGTTGTTCCGACTTTCGATACGAAAGTAACGGAATATTTGTGCTCGGGTGGGTTTTTTTTTCTTCAGACAAATTTCGACTTTTTAACTAGCCATTTTTGACGGAAGTTTTTATATCATTCAAAAGGTATTGTTGTTGTGAGCTTAAATTTGAAAAGATATTTCACCTGTGATTATTTTTCGTAAAGTTATGGGGATTTAAAGTCGATAACCCACCCCGAGCACAAATATTCCGTTACTTTCGTATCGAAAGTCGGAACAATAACAATTGAAAACAATAACTTCTATTGAAATCAATCAACTTTATCGTACCTGCGTGTGATGACGTCTGTAGTGAACTTGTGTAACTTCTTCACTAGTTTCTTGTACTGTCTCCCCTTAGAAGTGAGATGGAAGTAGATGAAGTCGTTCCACAGAATTGGGTTGCGAAATCGTTCCACCAAAATTTCACTCACCTGAAAAAAGGGGTACAGCATGTTTAAATGCACTTAGATTTTCTTAGATGCTGTTTATGCGGTTTAAAAAATAACAAAATCTGTTTTTGTATGTTTTTTTTGCAAAAGTAACTGAGATCGGAACTTTCTGTGCTACCTGTGCGTTTATGAATGGACTACTACTTACATGATGCAAATCCTCTCAACTGATCGTTGACTGTCGTGTTACTCATGTTTGCTATTAGTCAGTATAAAGTCATAAAATCTCTATCAAAACCAAATATTGACAAAAATACCCGGTGGCTGGGCAAGTAGCACAGAAAGTTCCGACCATAATAGGAAACAAAAATATAACTTGTTCTTTCATTCAAACTGGGTTGTTTTTTTTCTCTGTGCTGGGATGAGATATTATCAAAAAGCTCAGAAATTAGGTATACTCGATAGTAATAAACAATTAAACATCTTCGACAAAAGTTTTCATTTACAAATAAATAGAAAAAAAACACTAAAACACTACATTTTTTGTAGGTTTCTTGCAGAATTATTTATTGATTTGTTTTTGCTGGAGCAAAATTAAATTTTCACGGTTCACAAAAAAGCTTAAATTATCTTTCTGTTTTAAGCCTGCTTGTTCGCTTTATTTGCTTTAAATTAGACACTGGCAGAGCTCAAAAATTTTCCGCTGAGAAAGTTTTAAAACTTTGTTCGAATCACGACTGAAAGGTTTTTAATATGGTATATCACTCGATATATTCCATCGATCATTAAAAGTACCTGATTTTGAGTGGATAAAAAGGTGGTTACAACAAGTATATATCCGGTCGCTGTACAATTACCTCCAGTGTTCTGACTACAAAAAATTTAAATTAAAGTATTAAATTTAAAGTAGAAAAAGTGAGAAAAAAATAAAAAACAAATGTTTCAAAAAATTTGATGTTTTTTCAAACTTTTAATTTGAAAAGGTTCTATTCTTCGTTCGGTATTTTGAAAGATCAACTTAACGCTGCAAAAATGGGTGAACAAATGCTATAATCTAAAAAATGAGCTGCTTAATTTCCGTGTACAAATTAGCCTGAAAAACGGAAAAATTCAAACCAGTTTTTCTCCATATATATTTTTCTACGAATCACGGATTTTGAATAAACTATAAGGAAACAATGACATGCCTCTGATCTGTTTTGGACGTAGTCTAATGAGTCTGGATTGCGCATCTGGGACCCCAGCTCCACACCCATTGCAGAGTCAGACACTATGTCCAGGGCTACACAGAAACACAGAAACACTGAAAGTGCAAAAAAGTTCACAATTCCCATAAAAAAGCCTGTTTCTAATGTTTGTACCCGTTTATAACCCAATTATTTGTCGAGAGGCAGACCCTACCATTGATACTCTGGATCGGAGTAAACGGCTCTTTTAGCTCAAATTCTGATCTGATTCTCATACCTAGTAGACTCATGGCCTCCCATATGTCCACGAATGAGTCGTGAGTAGCATGTGTGTGGAATAGAGAGAGGGCCACTCTGGTGTGTTCTATCATGGTGGAGAGTGTCCTGTCGAGGATGTCGAAGTGAAATGCGGGAGTGAGGAGTCGCCGTCTGCCCTTCCACTTGTCACCATTGCTAGTCAATAACCCAGTGCTAGAAAAATATAAAAAATGATACATTGTTTCCAAGTGAGGTCATTACACAAACAAAGTTCAAAAATTTACAAACAAGGAATTCTTCTATAAAATCATCACCTGAGAGAGCGCCAAACGATTAAATCTAACCTGTTCTTAGGTGACTCAGAATCGGCTATTTTTCAGAAAAAAACCTGTTTAGGAACTATTTTGAGAAAAATATTGCCTAAGAGGCTTATCTTCCACGTGATCAATACGGGCAGTCGGTTGTTCTAGTTATGAGATTTATTCTTGCTATAACAACTCACCCGAGCCAACTGTGAATCATTTCATAACTAAACGACTTGGATGAGTGTTTTGATGACTTCAAAATGAGTCCGGCGAGGCTGCCTTTTGTGATCATAACTTGAGGCTGGGGTCCGAAGAATACACAACACATTCCATTGTTGTCCAGACCCAACTTCTGGAAGAACCCTATCAAATCTTTCTGTTTCCGGGGAATCTGAGAGATGTTTCCGATAAGAAACTTCCTCTCCAAACCTACAAAGAAATTAATGTTCTCGGAAGAAAAACTATTGAAGCTGGCTTTAACAGCGAAAAATTAAAATGTGAAGAAAATATTTCCAGTTAACTAAGCAATGAACAAAATTAATAAACTTTTAGCTGTTAAATTGAAGAATATGTCAAAAAATGCTCAGAATGAATCAAAATGAGTCCTCTCACCTGGCAACTTGGAAGCAGCAGCACTGACCCTTTTCGACTTAGCCGAGTAGTTGAAGGACAGGAAAGAACACAGAACCCAAGAGGCAAAAAGGGCCAGTAACACACCAAACACGCCAATTAAATAGCCCAACATTTTACAAACTATCCCAGATATGAACTCAATTTAACCATAACACATCTAAATAGTATTAGTTAAGATTGGTCGTCACCAAGATGCGGTGCGGGTTAAATACATATGTGACGTTGGTAATGTAAACATGAACTCTTAGAGATGATAAAACCTAACTTTGAACTATTTGCGATCTCTATGTGTCTTATGCGTAAGCGTAAGCGAAGTGCATAGCAAACATGATCGAATCCAGACGACCAAAAATAGAATGATTCAAGCAATTCGCTGAGCCCAGATTAAACTGACTAAAAATTCGAAAGTATAGAGAAAATTTGACAAACAATCAAAAGTCAAAATAAACCAAAAAATAAACTATAACTTACACAATCAACTGTGACTTGTTTGACTATTGTGAAGTTTCCAGTACATCTGGTTCATCTAAAGTATCAATTTTCTAATCCTCTCTTGCAAAGATTGCAAATGGAAGCTGGTCGCTTCCTTGAAGCCAGGTTGTAGGCGGCTCCAAAGTGTGTTTAGACCAGAAGGAAGGGTAATGAAGATAAATCTACTTCCTTACAGTTATTTACATTGAGCTACAAGATTAAAGCGAATAAGCAAAAAAATTGCGTTGAATTAAAGTGTCGGTTTTCAGTTTATTATGATCTATCAAATGTATATAGTAACTGACTGGTATCTAATCAATATCGACGGTCAATCCCACTAAGTATACGACTAATCACAACAAAAGAAGTACTAATCAATGACGGCTGCAAACTTGAACCCACAAAAATTCACTGCGATTTTTTCTCAAAATCATTAAAATTTTCCTAAAAAACGCAAGCTAAAAAATTACAGTAGCTGGTTGCAAGGCAAATAACACAGAATGTTCCGACCCCATACAACAGAAAGTTAGTCGTTTTTTTTTTCAGGCTCATGCCATAACAAAAACATAGAACGTTAGCAACTGATACATAATCGAATAATTGATATAGATTAAGTTCTTACTTTCAACTATACAATCACGTAATTAATTAGTGAATTAGGCATGACAAAACAATGAATGAAAAAACAGTTTTAACAAATTTTAACAAAAGTTTTAACAAATTATGTTTTATACCAAATATGTGCTAAGAAACGTCAAAATCTAAATTTCAAAATTTTTGCACCAATTTTTTTTTCTTCTATAATCGGACAATTTTTTTAAAATATATTAATATAAAAAAGTATAAATAAATTAGTATAATATAAATCATTCGAAACTTTCCGATTATTATCTGTTGAACCCAATTTTGCGTAAAAATGAAAGAAACAACTAGAATACAACCGAAAAGAAAAACTTGATTGCATAACATGCGAATGCATATTTTCCTCTTTGAATTAGTATCGCTTCAACAACCCAAACGAGCAGTTCCAGAAATTGCAGTTATGAAACAAATTTTTGGAAAAATAAAAATAAATTATCGTACCCTACAAGAAGCAGAACTGAGATCAAATCAAAAACAAAAAAGAATTGCAATTAATTAGCAACACCAATTTATTAGTAACACCATCAACGAAGCATCAGTTCAATTTACTGTAGAAGGAGTGAAAGGTCAAGCTGACAAAAATACAAATAGAACACTTATATAATTATATATATTTCATCATTTAATTAAAAAATTGAAATCAGATGACTCAGACATTTTTTGTTTTACTTACTTGGAACGAGCAAGGAAGAATACAATAAAAAGTTTTGTACTGAAACAAAATTGCTGTTCAAAGACTTTATTGAAAAACTCGATGCAAAACATAACTGACTGGTATCTAATCAATACCGAAGAACATTCTACATAAGTATTAAAAGCCAAAGAGATCCCCTAAGCAAAAATTAAAAAAAAATCAGATAAAAAAAAACTCTGTTCAATCCTCTAACCGAGTAAAACAGTATAAAAAGGCAATTTTACATGTTTTCACAAATTTTAACAAAGTTTAAAAAAGTTTTTACGGAAAATTTATTTAACAAGTAACAAATCAACCAGTAGAAACACCAATTAAGAAAAGCAAGTTGAGAACAAGAAATTAAAATAAAGCGTTAAAATTTATGAGAAGTTTTGAACTAGTTTTGGTTAAAATTTTCGCCGAATTAACCAAGGATTTGTTTCATGATCCACTGCTGAGGATAAGTCATGTCTGGTTTTGATAGCTGCGCCGTCATGAGACAAAATATGGATGGCGTCAAGATGAAAGCTGATGAATTGTTGCTAGTTGCTATTGAATTGTTCCCGCTGGGATGGTGACGAGAGTATAGCGGGTGTGAAATTGGTCTCACAAATCTATAGGAGACCATATCTGGTGGTCAGAGTTGAAGCTCATGTAAAGAGGACTGCCGTCTTAGGTGACCACCATTGGGTCCCGCATTTCTTTTTGCGACACTTTACCGACGACTCTTCTTTTCCCGAAAAACTTTAGGGTGCAAAAAGTTCCCCATGGTCTAGACAGTCTCATTGATTCTGCTGAGGAGATGAATCTGGTTTGTTCGGGAATCGTAATTCAATCCAAAATGTTTAAAATGGAATAGATATAATTTTTACGTTTAGATTTTTCAGCGTGAATACTCGTTTGACATCTTTTTCTAAAGCTAGATACAGGATTGAACAGAATTTTTTTTAATCTGATTACGCTCTTCTCGATCTGTTGAACATTTTTAAACAGTTTCTCCTCCGCAGATTTGAGTTTTCAGTACATCTGGTCCACTTCAATGATCTTTATCCCAACTCTCCATTGCAAAGATTGCCAATTGAAACTGGTCGCTTCCTCGAGGCCAGGTTGTCGCCGGTTCCAGAGTGTGTTTAGGCCAAAAAAAAGGTTTTTCACACAAGTTCATTTCGTTTGAGTGCGCTTTAAAAAAAGATAAAGCTTTATCTACTTTGTACAGCTATGTACATTCAAATAAAACAGTAAAGGGAATCAGAAAATGTGTTGACGTAAAATGTCTGTTCTCAAACTACTTTGAACTGTCGATGATTGACCAAATATAGATGCATACAGTAACTGACTGGTATCAAATCAAAACCGACGGTCATTTTAACTAAATATAAGACAAGTCACAAGAAAAACACATCGTATCAGCAACAAAATTGTAGATTTTCAGGACTATTTCCCTACTTGATCAATAAAAGGAACCCACCAGAAGCAGTAAACAAATTTAAGCAAAAGAAAGAAGGAAAAAAATTTACAGTAGCCAATTACAAGGCAAAAAGCACAGAATGTTCCGACCACATTATAAAAAATAGTCTATTTTAATCAAGTTTACTCTTTTTTTTCGTAGCAGAAACTAGAAACGTTATTAAACTTTGGATAAACGAATGAAATCAAAATGAAACAACTGAAAAAAGTGTTCATTGATATTGATTTTTACCTGTAAAAAAATAACCAAAAGGAAGTTTATTATCAAATCAATGATTGGAAAAATATTGGCTTGTAAAAATTGGTATCAACTTTGACACAACAACCAGAAAGAAGAAGAGATCTATTGAACTTTAAAAAACACAAAAAAGAGAAGCAAAGTCTCTCACCGATTATATAAAAATCAGAGGGTCATAGAATAGTGATGTCAAGAATCCATAAAAATGCCATAAGCATGACTTATTTGAGCTACAAACAATAAACGCTTACATAAATTTCACATGCATTTTTGTTAATGCAATCAGACTAATCCAAATCACCTTTTCTTGCGTGAAATTGGCTTTTCTGGCAAGTACAGCTTACGGATGCAAAAACCGAAATCTAACCATTGACAAAGCGTAAAAAAAACTCATTTAACTATTTAACGCGGTCAAAAAACTAGTCGCCGCGGTCGAAAAATTAGTAGCGTCGGTCGAAAAATTATTCGCGTTGGTCGAAAAATTAGTCACGGCGGTCGAAAAATTACTCGCGGTGGTCCAAAATTAGACGCAGTGGTCGAAAAAATAGTCGCCGCGGTCAAAAAATTGGTCGCGGCGGTCAAAAAAATAGAGACGGCAGTCAAAAAATTAGTAGCGGATGTCAAAAAAATTGTTGCCGCGGTCATAAAATTGGTCGCGGTGGTCAAAAAATAAGTCGCGGTCATCGAAAGCTAGTCGCGGCGGTCGAACGAATAGTCGCGACGGTCGAAAAATTAGTCGCGGTGGTCGAAAAATTAGACGCGGCGGTCAAAAAATTACTCGCAGCGGTCCAAAAATAAACGCAGTGATCGAAAAAATAGTCGCGGTGGTCAAAAAATTAGTCGCGGTGGTCGAAAAATTATTCGCTGTAAGGTCGAAAGTTCAGTCTCGGCGGGCAAAAAATTAGTAGCGGTTCGGTCGAAAAATTTGTCGCGGCGGTCGAAAAATTTATCGGAGCGGTCAAAAGATAAGTCGCGGCGGCCGAAAAAGTAACCGGGGCATAGTAAAAAAATTCGCAAAATGAGTCGGGCAAATTTGCGGATTACAAAAAGTGCACAAAACAAATTCCCACTTAATAGCCCAACCAAAAATGATTCGATAAAAAAAATAATTATAGAGGAAATTATAGCTCAATATTTTTGTCTGCTTGGTAAGCAGAAAAAGGTAAAAAAACCATCAAAAAAATAAATGTAATTAAATAAAATGACAACTTTTTAAATTTGAGATTTTGTGCAAATCATCTCCCCACACGCCATATAAAGTACCAAGTCAGAGGTTTGGTTCCTAGTAGCAATTCAGTTATGGCAATCAAAATTCCTTCAATCAACTCTAACAGGGATTACATCTCCCCTTACGCATTAATAGCGCGAAATATATCGCGCGATAGTTGTACCATTTTTTCGGAAAATGATCACAATCTTTCCAAAAACGTGAAATATTTTTCCAAATTTAAACACAGGACAACAGTACTTTTTGAATGATATAAAAATGGTAAAAATGGCTAGTTAAAAAAAACGAAGTTTGTCTGATGAAAAAACCACCCCGTGCACAAATATTCCGTTACTTTCCTCCAAAAGTCGGAACAAAAAAGACAAAATCTGAGCAATTCCACTAACCAGGCAACAATGGGTATGAGAGGAGTGAAGCGCCTCAATGACAAGTATCCAAAAAAACGAAGAGTAGGAATTTTTTGAAGGGCAAATTGTAGTTGCCAGGAGAGAAATTGATTGTATTTGGGACA